CTTGAAAAGCTTACTTCTAAAAATTTTTTAAAGGCAACTGAAAGAGCTTAACTTGCTCATCTTGACCCTTCGACTATTGCAAAATATTTTGATAAAATTATTCATTTGATTATAAATATATTAATTAGTTATAATAAAGAGAATAGTGATATATTTGGATATGTAAAAAATTATTATAGTATTGTTGAATATCAAGATCATGGCACTCTCTATTGTCATATGCTAATTTGACTTCATGGTGCTTCTTATTCTATTATATTGCATCATAAAATTAAAGATGATATTGAATTCTACTAACTTTATTAAACTATGTTAGTAATATTATTCAAGAAGATATTAGCTATTTACTTAAGAATAATAAAATTTTAACAGATGAAATACTTGAAACTGAATATTCTGCACCAAAAACAATTTTTGAAAAATACTTGCATCCCTCATTTCAATATATACCAGACCCTAGATCTTATAATTTTGAAGAGAAATTTTGTCAAGACTTACTTGCTCTTACCAAACATATACTCTTTTATTACTGTAATAGAACTTGCAAAAAATACAATCATAGCTTGCAAAAACATTGCAAGTTTAATTTTCTAAGAGAGCTTGTAGATCCTCCTAGAATAATTTTTCCTGATCAAGGCATTATTGTGATCCAATATACTAATTCTTTTATCAACAATCACAACCTATATATAACTACTATATGCCACAAAAATAATGACATTAAATTTATTGCTACTCACAAATTAGCTTTAGCATATATTTACTATATTACTGACTACATTACTAAATCTGATCTAAGCACATATAGTTCTTTTTTAATATATGCCTCTACTTTAAAAACCTTTTTAAAATAAGCTATTAATAAAAATTCAATTGATATTATAAATAATTCCAGTAAACTTGTAACAAAATGCCTTAACAAAATAATAGATTAATCAAAACTTATCAGCTCACACGTTTCAGCTTATTTGTTAAACATTCCTGACCACTATACTTCAAATAAGTTTGTATCTATATATCTTTGATCATTTGAGTTTTATCTTATAAATAAATATAAAAATATTACCAAGATTTTGTTAAAAATTTTAATGAAACTGATGATAATTTGGACATTAATAATGATGATCAAAATATTCTAAATCAATTTAATGAATTATTTTTAATTATATCTTTTAATAACAAATTAACCACCATAAATCTTCATATTAATTATCAATTTAGAGGTTTAGTATTATACAATATTTGTCTTTATGATTATACTACTTATATTAAAAAAACTCTAATAAACTCATATTAACTTTTAATGCTATCAGGCTAGCATCCTAGAGAAGGAAATGAATGCTTTTATTCTAAAGGAAATGACTTAAATGATAATCTTAATTCTGGATCTATTGATATACATTCTCAAAACAAAACCTATATTCAAATATATAGGAAAAAAAAATCATTGTTTTGTGTAGTAAAGGAATATCTAAAAAAAATGATATAGAAAATACTGAATTATATAGACTATATATTCTCATGTTATTTAAACTATAGAAACAATCTGTGACCTTCAACAAAACTATAACATGTGGTTAGAAGCATATTATACATTCTTAAGTAACCCTAATACATCTTCTTGTCTAAAATATATAATCTTAAATATTGAATTACAATATAAATATGCTGAAGAATCATTTTTAGACTGTGAATTAAGAACAAAAGCATTAAATGATCTAATTCTTACTAAAGCTTATCAGATTGACCATTCTGTTTTTGGATATAATGCAGATGACCAAAATAATCTTTTTGATGATGATACTGATGATGATTTACTTACTAATAATAATTTAGAAACTATAACTTCTTTAAATCCTACTACTATTATTAGAGCTAGTTTAAGAGATACTAATATAGTTGATAATACTATAAATATTTAATAAATTCGAGGAAGATTTTATCCAAAAAATCACTCTCTTTCAACATGCTTAATTAATTTAAATAAGATTAATATTGATAATCTTGACCAAAATATTATATATCAAAGCAATAGTTCTGATAATAAACTTCTAAAGATTTAGCAGACTACAATAACTTTATGCAAATCACTTTTTCAATACTACAGTATAACTAACCTTGAAAATAAGCCTCCCTCGAATACCTTTATTGATCTATTGAATAAACAATCTACTTCTCCTACTACTATTATTAATAAGACTATAGATCTGTTAGAAAGATTTGCTTATGAGTTAAATGAAGAACAAAAAAGAGCTTATTTTCTTGTATGCAATCATCATCAAAAAAACCAATCTGCATATGAGTATAAACTATCACAATTATTACTTTATCTTGCTAGTACTAGTGGAACTAGTAAATCTAAAGTAATTCATGCAATTAGTTCTTATTTTGAATATACTTCACAATAACACACCTTTCTCATATTAGCATCTACTGGTATTGCTACTGCAAATGTTTATAGTAGTACTATTCACTCTGATTATAGATTTGGCTTCAGTGAAAATAGTAAAAAACTATCTATTTTATTAGAAGAAACTCTACGACAACTTCAAGAATTATAGTCTGATATATAATATGTTATATTAGAAAAAATTTCTATGGTCAGCCAAAATCTTTTAACTCAATTTAATACTTTTATAAAAAAATTAAAAGCAACCAACAATTCTATCCCTTTTGCTAGAATTAATATTATATTTGTTAGTGATTTTATACAATTACCACCAGTATTAGACCCAGTATTATATATACCAGATAAAATTACTCTTCTTTCTTCTTTATATACTATTCAGCCTACCTCTAATATCCAAGATTCATTAAAATCTATAAAAAGAAAATGTAATATTAATTCTTTATCTATCAATACCCAATCAGTTACTAACACTACTAGAAGAAGTCTTTGGTTAAATGCAAAACATGTTATTAATTTGAAAAAACAAATGCATCAATTAGATGATCCTTTCTATGCTAATATTCTAAAAAGTATGTATGGGAGAAATCTTACTGAAGATCAAAAATTAGCTCTATGACTAAGGATTGTTAGTGATAATAGTATTAACTCAATTTATTGAAGAGATGCTATTTTTCTTGTAACAAAAAATGATCTTCACATTCAACTTAATTTTAAAGCTACAAAAGAACATGCTTATTATAATAAGCAACAGCTTATTTACTCTTGTGCCCAAGATTCTTATAACCAAACTATTCTTAAAAGAAATAATTGTCTCAAATTCTTATCAACACCTAATACAAAAGATAATGCACTCTACAGTATTTTACTCTTGTCTATTAATATAAATATTGTTTTAACTATAAACATTTGTACGAATAATTATATAACAAATAGCTCTCAAGGAATTCTCCGAAAAATTATATATGATAAGGACTCTATTGATCTACTATCTTGTCATGAAAATATTATAATATTAAAAAGTTCACCAAAATATGTTATCATCAAAATAATAGATAGAGTACCTGGTTCTTATCAAGACCTTTAACCTAATTATGTACTAATTTATCTTATTAAATGTACCTGTGTGTGTACTATTTAGAAATCTGATAGGTCAAAAATCAAAAGAAGGTTTCAGAATTCCAGTTTCCTTTAACTCCTGCATTTGCATTTACTAACAACAAATATCAGAGAAGAATTCTTAACAAAGCAATCATTGATTTTACAAGCAGTAATACTAGCAATAGTCTGTATGTAATGCTTTCTCAAGTCCAAAAATTAGACAATCTACTAATCTTATGACTATTTAACAAATCTATATTAGATATGTAGATCTTATCTGCACTTCTTACTGAATTTTATAGATTTGAAGAATATGCACAAAGAGCTAACCAACTAAATAAATAGCCAAATGCTTAAGAAAAAATCTTTTCTTTCTCTTTGAACATCAAATAGATCATATGGTTCTTTTAATTTAATATTCTATTAATTTTACAAGTTACTAAAAAAAAATATAAGCTATCAATTTCCTAATTACCTATCTTAACACGTTATTCTAGCAAGTTCGTTTTGTCTGCATTAATTTACAAAATCATTAATCGAAATATTCATAATAATATATTTGAATTATAAATATTTACTATTGTACATTATGATTATGAATAACAAAATCTTATTTGCTCATATAAATTTACTATATATTCGAAAAAAATATTCTTTAAATGAATCATTCATAATAAGCAATTCTGTTATTATATATTATCCTATATCATACACTTAAATTACTACTTACATTATATCATATATAAATAAT